GGTTAAAGAACTTAATTTTTCTTCCAATGTTTTCATACATTTGTTAAAGCTGTGGTTCTAGGTTCAGAGATCACTGAAGTCTAGATACTATGGATGGATTTGAAGGTGAAAAAAGAAGGATGGGAACAAAAAAGAACCAACCAAAAAAATCCTCATTTTGGTACTGCACTTAAATTTACTTTAAAATGGCCCATGTTTCTAGAATGGCCTGAGGTTCTTTCAGGTCTGCAAAGAGAAGGGTTTTAAAGTCACAGTGTTAGTGTAACACATAGATGAAGTAAAAAAAAGGAGATGTGGATTCTCTTCTCAGCTGTCTCTGGCTTTCTATGGCAAATCTGTGCAGCTTTATCACATTAAGTAAAACTACTTTAGAAAGATTTTGTAAAGCTGTAGGCATAAGTATAGATAATGTTGGTTGTGGTCTGGGACCTTAAGTGGTTGCTAGAGGGAAGTTGAAGTTGAAATTAATTGTGAGTCCTTCAATAAAGTGGCATAACATACTAGTTCTCAGGAGTATCTGCTAGAAGTGTTATAATGAAACTGTCACTTTAGGCTGAGTTGCACATTTTGCAGACTGTTGTGCTACCTCCATACACATTTCTAAAAAGGACTTCTGTTTGCTTGCAGATAAATCTCCACGACAACTTGATTGCGAGAATGAAAAGCCTGAAGCAGGTAACAAGTGAGATGGTGCCCTAAACAGGGGAACGTGAAGGGGGAAATTAATTTTGCACGTGGCCTTTTGCAGTCCAATACATATTAGCATGTTCTCAGTGTAGAGATTACCGTTCCCCTGTTGGCCTAGAAAGACCTGTTGCCTTAGGAACAGTAAATGTTGATGGGTAGATTGCTAGATGAGAATTCAAAAAGACCTGGATCCTTGTGTTTATTAAACAGCACTGAGCAACTACCTTCCTGGGGCGTCAGCTTCCCTCTTGATCTAATGAGAATGATGCTGCATGCTGTGCTGCAAATCACCATCTGTGGAAAGAAGAACTAAGCATGTCTGAGGAAATCCCTTTTATAGTAAATAAGCAAATTACCTTTTTGTCTAATGTTACCTTTTATTTGCACGCAAAAGAGTGCAAGGATATTTTTATAGTATGTCAGCATGGGTAGGTGATCTTTGCTTTCTGTTGGAAAGAAACCCTCAAGCAGGACCTAAGGTAATAAAGTGCTGTGACTTCAAAGCTTTGTTTCTATTGATGGCAAATAGATCTGAGCTTCAGCACACCTATTTAGAGATAGGATGCTTACAGACTTGCAAAATGCTAATTTGGGAGACACATTGGGCTTCTTTCCTTAGAGAAGCACCACTTCTGGATGCGGTATCTTCTACTTGCTTTATGCTCTAGGAAAGTCTTTTGACTGCATTCATCAGGAAGCTAAGCAAAGCCCCAGTTTTATTTTCTTAGTACAGCCAGTGTAAATGTCAAGGAAATTCTGGGACCTGTATTTTTTTTCTGGAAGCTCTTTTTACTCCAGAGGGATAGTGAAATACAAACATTGTCATTCAAGTCAGCAAAAAAATATGTTTTCCCCAGGCTGTTGCACTGATGATTCCTTCACTCACTAACTCTTCCACCATTTTCCACAAGTAGCTCATAATAAGGGGGTTTGAGAAGGCAGAAGATTTTCCTGGTTAAGGGATAAAGTACTAATGATGACAATAAAGAAAAGGAAACCCAGAAGCCCCTGGGGTTTGCCACTTAATTCTTCCTGCATGAATTGTAATGGGCATAGAACAGCTTTCCTCATCTGAAGAAATAGGGGTTGTGTAGCTGATGGTGAAGGTGTGATGCACTGTGGGATTGTCTTATCACTTCTATAACTATTTTCACATACATAGACATGGATATAGGAGGAAGAGGAGGAGGTCTATTTTATGCCTGTCTTACAGAAGAAAAGAGGGAAACATACAGTTCAGGCGAAAGAGATGAGGTCTGTAGATAAAAGTTGTTTGGAGAATAAAGTACTGTATTTTGTTGCAGTATAGAGCGGGAACATCAGGAAGGGGAGTCAGTGCACCGTTGTGCAGTACACGCAGCAGGCAAGGCTATGATGTTCTCTGAAATGCCTGTACAAAGCAATTCTAGATAGGGCTTCTGTTGGTAGCACAGCAGTACGTGACAATTGCAGAGGAGAAAGTGTGCTGCTGAGCTCTGGACAACACAGCAATGACCTGTGCTGGTGGGGGGAGGAAGCAATGGCACGTGCTCCTGAGGGACTGTACCCCATCTCTGATCTCTTTTCAGACAAAGAATTGAATGAGGAGGACGGTGCCCTGAAAGACAACCAGACAGTGACCAATGGTGTAAATCAGGAAGGTAAGTGCCTGTTCTATGGAGCAGTCAGTGCTAGTGACCCAGTGGGCAAACTGGCCAGGGTCCCTTAGAGTTGAAGGCTCAGAGTGCCTTATGTGCAGTGCTTCTCAGTGGTGGTGTTGGGGGGGGAATTGTGTCTTGAATGCTGAATATCTGTCCTCAGTGCAGGATTTTCCAGAGCAGAGTTAACCAACTTTCAGGCTGTGGTCAAGAGCAGCTGGTTTATGTTCTGCTAGGGCAGAGCGAGGTTTGCATTTTTGCCACCCTTGGAAATAACGCCAGCAGAGCATGCAAGCTTGAAGGAGGTGTGTTCTGGAGATCAGCGAGGTTTTAAAAAACAAAAAAACAAAAAACCAAAAAAACAAAGCAAAAAAAACCCAAACCAAACAGTCAGACTGAGATGAGAATATTCGAGTGGCTGTCCCTGCTGAAGTGCTGGCTTCTGGTCTTCTGGTCAATGCTGCCTTTTGGGAGATCTCTGCAAGGGTGCCTCTAGTCCCCCAGTGTGTGCACATGAACCAGTTAAGTGAGGAGCAAGACGATGTGACCAAGAGGAAGCTTTGCCAGCTTCTGTCTGGGTTTGGAGAGATTGCTTGTGGTTATTTTCCGTTACTTGGCACTTGTTAGATAACATGTAGAGTGGCCCACTAGACAACATGTAGTTTGGCCCACCCAGTGCTGGAAAAAGCACTGATAAATTTGAGCAAATTCAGCAGAGTGCCACCAACACTGGTTCGTCTGTGGAAATGCTGAAGAAACTGGGCTTGTTCAAGCCCAGAGAAGAGCAGGCTTTCAGGCTACATAACAGCAGCTGCTGATACCTACAAGGATGTTGATAAGAAGACCAAGCCAGGCTGTTTACTGAGGTGTATAGTGGGATATCAAGGTGATGGTCCTAAATGGAAGCAGAGAGATTCTGTGTTGATACAAGAAAAAGATTTCTGCCTTCTAAGCATGACTGATCACTAGGACATGCTGCATGGAGTCTCTACCCATGGAGGTTTTTATGACCTGACTGGAGAAATTCCTGAGCAACCTGTCTGGAAATGAATGTTGACCTTTCATTGAGGAGAGGGTAGGGTTAGACACCACCTGGATTTCCTCCCTAAGCAAACCTGAATGATTATTACAATTCTTATGAATTGTAGCTGGTGACTCCTCTCTAAGTAATGACCACTGTGAAGTTAAGCAGTGGGATGTAGCTGTCCTGTAATCTCTTTTCAGAACTTCCTACCAAGCCGAACAGCACCCTGATGTCCAAGTGTGGGAGGTGGAGTGCCTGTTCTGTGGGGGGGAGCTGTCTTGGGGGAAAGGGTGTTAGCTTTCTGGTGTTAGCTGATGCAACATGTTGAGTTGTAGCTAGTAACTCACGCTTATTCAATAGCCACTACCGTGAAGCTGAGCAAGGCAGGGGTCTGTAGTTGTCTTCTGATCTCTCTTCAGATAGAAGCTGTCTGGCCAAGCATGCAGATGACCATGTTGTCAATGAGGCAGGTAAGTGCTTGTTCTATGGAGTGGTCTTTGTTATGACTTTTGCCTAATGCTTCTTGATATGAAGGAATGGGTGGCACTACAGGCACTGAGTGCCTTCTGCACTTGGCCTTTGCAGGGTCTGGGAGGGAGCATGAGTACAGCGTGGAGTGGAGAGAGGGGAGGGGAATGTTGTTCAGGGCTATTACTGATGCCGAACAAATGGCCTGGCTCTCAGTCAGATTACTCTTGATACGCCTGAGCTGGGGGAGTGTTGTGAGCTCCAAGATTGTCTGAGTGTTGCCTGTTGTCCTGGCAGAAGTGGCCCAGGAGGCAGAAGGTGGAAACGGGGAGCACCTGAGCAATTCTCAGCTGTAGTGAATAAGGTATGTGGAGGGTGAAGCTCCCTGTGTCTTGGGAGAACGTGCAGACTGTCACAGAGGGTGGGAGCAGCAGTGCTGGGCCAGGCTGCGTATGACCCTGAACCCCTTTTGCTCAAGGAGAAAACAGAGTAAGAATTATTAGGAGGAAAGGGGTGCGTGTGTGGTGGGTGCGTGTGTGTGTGATGTGTGCTAGGGAATCAGATGTTTGCGATGGAAGTGTTCAGAAGACTGGCCAATTTAGCCACTTCAAAACTGTAGGGTTAAATGTTACTAACATTCATTAATAACACACTGCTTACTCATGCTTGCACTTTTACTTCATTTCCTGCCTTAACAAGTGCTAAAGGCTTATAGTGGCTGAGGTGTCAGTAGATTTCTGAACTGCAATTCTACCTTGTTAATTATGAATGCTGTTGAACAGCATATCAAAGCAGAGAGATATTGTGGAACACCGAAGGGTTGTTTTTTTTTTTTATTGCTCAGGTGTGCAGCTGCGTTTTCTTGTGGTTTGTTTTTAAGCCTACACGGGCATGGTGGGAAAGCTCTTCTAAACAAACAGACCGATAGGCCCCAGGACTGACACATGGAATGAGAAAACTGATTATTACTCCATACAGAATCATAGAATACAATCATTTAGGTTGGAAAAGACCTTAAAGATCACCAAGTCCAACCATTAACCTAACGCTGCCATTCTACCACTAAACCATGTCCCTAAGCACCACATCTACCTGTCTTTTAAATACCTCCAGGGATGGGGACTCGACCACTTCCCTGAGCAGCCCGTTCCACTGCTTGACAGCCCTTTCGGTGAAGAAATTTTTCCTAATGTCCAACCTAAACCTCCCCTGGTACAACTTGAGGCCATTTCCTCTAGCTCTATTGCCCATTACCTGGGAGAAGAGACCAACCCCCACCTCACCACAGCCTCCTTTCAGGCAGTTGTAGAGAGTGGTAAGGTCTCCCCTCAGCCCTCCTCTTCTCCAGACTAAACAACCCCTGTTCCCTCAGCTGCTCCTCATCAGCCTTGTGCTCCAGACCCCTCACCAGCTTGTTGCTCTCCTCTGGACACGTTCCAGCAATGCATCTTCCCTATAGCGAGGGGCCCAAAACCGAACACACAGGGAGAACAGTTGATCAGTGCTATCTCTTATGGGTATTAGTGAAATTCAGGCTGCAAAGATGCAATGTTTCTCAACAATTGTTTCATGTTCCATGAATTAGTTAGAACCTTTGCTCAGTCATCAGTTCTGTATGCTGCATTTATTATCGGGGCATAATAGGCCTCCATTTACATATCTCCAAAGATGTTTTGCTCTCTCAATCGGTTTTCTATGGTATGTGTGCCCACCAGAGCATCTGTGAGGTTGTGCAGCTGCTTCTTGGAGTACATCAACATGAAGAATATCAAAACTCAGATTAGTCCTGTCCCAAACCTGGTAACAGAAGGATATAAGGGCTATCCCTTAATAAACTGCACAGGCAAGGGCTTACATTGGTCTGTCATCCATCAGGACCACAATACTGTTTCTGTAGAATGTTTCTAGAGTAGAGAAAGCCTATGGAATGCTAACTGATTTCACTCTTGATGCTAATTAGTTTCACACTGTGATTCCGAAGAAGTATTAAAAATCATAGGTTTGGAGCTGAGATCATTGACCTTTAGTTTATAGTGAAAAGTCTTACTGAGACTTCTAAATCTGGCGAAGAACATAAAAAAATCAAGCCCTCACCAAGAGAGCAATTACTGCACTCACAAGTTTGGCTTCCAAAGTACCTGGTAGTGTTGTAGAAAATCCAAAGTTCCTATCCGTGACACAGGAAGGTTCTACGCAGAATAGTTGAAGCTGTAGCATAGTGCTATATCTCAGTCTGTGACAGCCAGGTGCTGGAGGTAGAAGTAGTTTCCCCAACCTAACAGATTCAGTGGCAGCATGGAGAAATGCAATCAGCCGCCATCAGTAATCGTGAATTTCTCGATTCCCAAAGGGATATAGTTGAAGCACATGACCCGCTGACAAAATTTTCACTGGAGTTATGCAAGACTTTCAGAAGTAAAACTGTAGGTAAATATGTAATAAAACTTACTCATTGCTGGTGTGTCTGCAAAGCTTACAGAGATGAAGATGATAGTGAGAACGGTTGCTGAACTTTGAATCCATCTAATGAGTGTAATCAACTTACCTGGGTTTGAGAGACTTGCTGTAATTGACCGTAGTTCAAGCATGCTTTACTCTGACTCTAGGGAAACCCTGCCTTTCCTGTGGATGGGTGAAGATTGTTCCACATAGACTATAATCTGTAGGATGGCTTGAGCCAATCTGGCCACTTACTGTCACTTACAGTGGAGTTCTTGCTCTTTGGACCAGCTCTGATGTTCATCACACCCCTCTCTGAGCCAGTTAAACTACCTCATGTAGCAGGAAGCTGACCCGGCAGAAAAAATCTGGGTGCTCTTCTGCTGGACTAACAGGTTAAATCTGATCATAAAGGGTCTTGGTAAGCACTGGGCTGACATACTGGAGGGGATGGGATGTGATGCGACGCTGGTCAGCAGTGGATTCAAAGGGAGAAGGAAGGGCAGGAGACAGGGAAAGGGGCTGGGGGGTGGGTGTGTGCTGTTGCAGTGGTAGCAGGGCAGGCTGAGATGTGCGTGTGAAATGTGTTGCGTGAAGCCGTTCCTTTCTGTCACCGTAAAGCTTTGCTGCGCTTTGAGCATGCTGTAGAACAGCTGTAGTTTAACTGAGAACGAGCCTGCTGGTAAAGGGAATGAGCTGGTTTCCCAGAGCTGACACCTTTGACTGTGCTGGCTGTTTTACATAGAACATAAACTAGTTAAAAAGTACTTGACAGATAAAACATCTGTGAAGAAACAAAGTTTTGAAGGGATGTGAAATGAGGTCAGCTATAGCAAATAAACTGGGTGAGGGAAGAAAGGAATGGATGGAAAAAAATTGCTTTGCTATTTGTGAAACAAAAGGGGTGACCTCATCGCAGTCTACAGCTTCCTCAAGGGGGGCAGCGTAGCGGGGAGGCACTGATGTCCTCTCTCTGGTGGCCAGCGATAGGACACGAGGAAACAGAATGAAGCTGCGTCAAGGGGAAGTTTACGCTGGACATTGGAAAAGGTTCTTCACCGAGAGGGTGGTCAGTCACTGGAATGGGCTCCCCAGGGCAGTGGTCATGGCACCAAGCCTGTCAGAGTTCAAGGAGCCGTCTGGACAACGCTCTTAGTCGTATGGTTTAGTTCTAGGTAGTCCTGAGAAGAGGAGGAAGTTGGACTCTGATCCTTATGGGTCCCTTCCAACTCTAGAGATTTTATGAAAGGTTTTGTTTACAAATTTATTAAATGAGTCACCAGAAACTTCTTGGTTTGAAATTTTTTATCTGACTTGAATGTTTAAAGAGAAAATTTACAAAGCTTTGAGAAAGTGTGTACTATTAGCCAGTGTGTGTCAAAGTATTTTTGTTTGGTAAGAAATGAACTTTGCAGATTAATTCCTTAAAAGGAAAAATGTTGGTTTGTCTGTCATATATAGCCCTTAGTTAAGTGGCGTAACTATGGGCATTTCATACTGGTTTCTGCTTTTTATGTTGTAGATCAGTGGTCTCCAAACTTACTTGATTGCACACTCCATCAGTAAAATACTTTGAACATACACACCCAATTTATATATATTTATAAATTACATATGTGTGCTACTGTACTCAAGTATTATGTACATTGTAAAGCATGCACAAAAATAGAAATTAAAAAGGGGTGATATAAGGATGAAGTAAACAGTATTTTTAATTTTATTAATTTTATTAATGGTGCAAAAATACTTTCTTCCTGCACCGCGATGGATTGCCTTGTGCACACTCCACTTTGGAGACTACTGATGCAGATATTCCATTTAAAGATTCTCAAAATGCACAGGAATGGGGAAGCTAGTGGCACCTTATGGCTGCAGACTTTTCTGCTTTGTCAGGTTTATTCTTCTGTTGAATTACCAGCCAAGCAATCACATTCAGATATTTTCTGAAGACCATGTTGAAAAGAGGAAAAAAAACCCTCTGAATGTGAGAAAATATGGATGAGTAGAAAGGTAGGAGGGAGTTAGGACTGAGTATATGAAACCTGACTCTGTTGCAGACGAAACTGCCCATGAAACTGTCACAAAACAAGGCCGCAGACTTAAACAGGGCTGTATAGCTGGAGAGGAAGCTGTGGTTGCCTTGTAACTGAGTCAGATCCTGTTAGTTCTGGTAGTTGCCGAGGAGTAATACTGAAGACCAAATGAAGTAAGTCTGTATTATGCATGGCTTACATGATGTGCTGCTTTGCAAGGGCTACTTACTTGGCTACACTGTGCTCCTATGTCGTGCTTAAAGGTTTAGTATCTGAGATAGTTATGTTGTTACATCATGTCAAAACATCAGGTGTAGCTGTGCATTCTTTGGTGCTGTTTGCAAGCTGTGTGGGGACAGAACATTTTGCATGTTCTACAGGGTGCGTGAAACCTGATGCTTATCACTACAGCTATAAAATGAGAGGAGAACACCAATTCCATATTCAGGCCCTCTCACTGCATAGACAGAAGCAAATAGCAGCCCCCCACAGGCTGGCTTTTCGATCGTGTTCTTCCATTTTGTCATCAAGCTGGCGTAAGTCATATGTAGGTAAAGCAGTAAACCTGCTTGGATTTTAAGGACAGAAATCATAACAATACTTCAGGCCTATCCAGGAACCTTGTGAGAACCAGACTGCGGACACCTTTCTTTTTTTCATTGTCTACAGAGATGAGTACCATGTGTCACCACGTGCTGCTCTCCTACACTGTCTCCTGGCATCTTCTCCTAGTTTGGAGTGATGCTGAGCTAGAGACTAGTGGAAGGGAGGGATAATAGGAGCAAAGACTGAATCATACAGTGCCTTGGCACATCCAGTTGGTTCCCCTTATACTGTTGCTCTGTGTGCACCCAGGCGGATGTGAGTGGGCCGTGTGTATGCTTTACTGGAAATGAGCCTGGTTGGAGGTTGATGCATGTTGCATGCAGTGGGTTAGATTGGGCACGTAGTCTTGGACTTGCTGGATTCTAACCTCCTGCACTATAACTTCCCTTTGCCTTCAGCTTCCTTGCTTGTCAAATAAGAGCTCTATCTGCAATCCTCAAAAGAGAAAACTGCAAAAGCACCTGGCATTACTGTGTGGAAGAAATAGCAGCAGTGTTGCATGCATGTGTGGTGCACAGCTGATACTGAGATTATAGACCTGAACCTTGTATAAAAGTGGTGTCTTAAGAGCCTGGTTATGTGATCCAAAGTCATGGAGTCAGAACAGCCTCACAGCTGCTTAGCGGGTGGCTGGTGGTAATGATAAATGTTCTTAACATGTTCCAGTTGCAGAGGAACATGTCTAACCATATACAGATAATTTGGGTAAATGTAGGTGGCGATCAGATATTGTGTAGCTGCTGTAATTAGATTGTTTTGGATCACATGACAATGTCTTAATTCATCTTCACACTTTATTAGGATTTAAAGCCTGAAGTATTCTTGTATAACTAGTTCAATTTCTAGAAGGGAAGACATAATAATTTACCTGTGTGCTTTTCTTTTGCTTGAGATCTTAAATTATAAGCAAATAATTGCTCTGCGGACCAAACAACAGTGGAAGAGAGGTGGTGCAATTCAACAGTGAAGGAGCTGCGGCCTTTTCTCTTGGACGTTTTCCACCAACACTGAAGTCATCCATAAAGAAGTGCTTTGAAGACTAGCTGAACTGTTTCCAGTGCCTCTTTTTCTTCTCTCAGAAGGGACAGCCTCCTTTTCTGGTGACACTGCATGAAGATAAAGAGGCCAAATCACGGACAAAATCTTTTGTATTGTTTTGTATTTTGTTGTAACAAGTGGTGCTGTACTAACACAACATGTAAGAGCTAAGGTCTCTTTTATAATTGGTATTTAGAGATTAACAAAATCATATCCATTTGCATGAATGTGGATAACTGAAAAACTAATGGCCTTTCTCTGCAACTTTGGATCAGTACCTTTTTACAGTCAGAAGAACAACAATTCATCCTTCAGCAATTCCAGATGGATGGAAGTTTGCATTTGCTAGTCTCAGTTCTCCAGCAGGAGCTCAGTGTCCCAGACGAATATTGTCCAAGATAGCTATCTCCTGGAGTTGGTAGAAGACTGGAAAACTGATCATCATCTGATGGTGGTTGACTCTGTGATAAAGCTACAGTTCAGTTTGTTGTTGAAGGGGAACAAAGCTGCTGCTATTATCAGGGCTTTAGGGTTTTTTCCTTGAACTTGTGATATTTTTTGCACTTTTAGGATTTTTTTTTTTTTTTTTTTTATATGTGTCAGCTTCTGCTTCGCATTATTCTAAGAGGATGTCAACCTGCCCATTTCTAAAGAATAATATTATGGTTTTAGGTTGCTTGTGACTGGGAAAAAAACTTGAAAACTGAGGTAATTTATACACTGAAGCTCAAAAAGAATCAAAGAGAAAAGCATACTGTATGTTAATGTTTTCAAAACATCAGGATATGGAGCATGTTTCATGACTTCTGCCTGCTGGTTTTTAATGAAAGCTGAAAGCCATTTCAGTTGATTTTGAACTTGGTTTGTGTAAAGAATCATGAAGGCTTGACAAGGATAACCAGAGATCACAAACTCCCCCTTCATCTTTGCTCTTGTTTCAACTTATGCCCATTATCTCTTGTTCTCCCACCAGGCACTACTATGAAGAATGGGTCTCCATCTTCTCGATAATCAGCTTGTAGGTATGGGAAGACTGCGGTTAGGTGCTCTCCCAAAGCCTATTCTTCTCCAGGCTTGAACAAGCACAGTGCCTTCAGCTTCCCATAGTACAAGTGCTCTGACCATCTTGGTAGCCTTCCACTGAATTTACTCCCAAGCTTCTTGATGTCTGTCTTCTTGAAGGGGTCCAAAACTGGATGCAGTATTCTGAATGCAGTTTAATTAATGCATGCCGAGTAGCGGGGGGACAATCATTACCCTTAATCTACTGGCTAAGCTCCTGTTAGTAGAGCCCAGGATGCTGTTGGCCGCCTTTGCTGCCAGGAGACACAAGCTCATGTTTGGCTTGCTGCTTACTGAAATCTCCCTGCTGCTTTTCAGCAGAACTACTCCCCTGCCAGCCAGACCCTAGCTTATATTGTTGCAAGTGGTTCCTCCTTCCCAGAGCTTTATATTTGTTCTTTTTTAATTTTAACCTGTCTAGGTCTCTCTGACAGCCCAGCCCTTTTGCATGTTGAATGATTCTCCCCAATTTGGTGTCATCTGTAAACTTCACAAGACTGCACTTTATCCCCTTCTCCAGACCACTGATGGGAGATGTTAAATGGGACCGGTTCTAGCATAGGCCCTTGTTAGTATTCTACTTGCCTCAGCCACACCTGTTAGCCGCTACCACCTGAGCCCAATCATCCAACCACTTCTTTACCTACCTATAGAATCATAGAATGGTTTGGTTTGAAATGGACCTTTAAAGATCATCTAGTCCAACCCCCTGCTGTGGGCAGGGACATCTTCCATTACATCAGGTTGCTCAAAGCCCCATCCAGTCTGACCTGGAACACTCCCAATGATGGAGCATCCGCAACTTCTCTGGGCAACCTGTTTCAGCATCGTGCCACCCTCATTTTAAAACATGTCTTCCCTACATCCAACCTAAATCTACCCTCTTGCTGTTTAAAACTGTTGCCCCTTGTCCTGTCACTACAAGCCTTGGTAAGAAGTCTTCCTCTCTTAAAAAGCACTCTTGATGTATTGAAATGCCACAATAAGGTCTTCCCAAAGCTGCCTTTTCTCTAGGCTGAACAGCCCTAACTCTCTCAGCCTTCCTTCACAGGAGAGATATTCTAGTTTTCTGCTCATCTTCATGGCACTCCCCTGGACCTGCTCTAACAGGTCCATGTCTGTCTTGTGCTGGGGACAGTACTCCATGTGGAGTCTTACAAGAGCAGAGTTGAGGGAGAGAATCACTTTCCTTGACCTGCTGGCCACGGTTGTTTTGATGTGGCCCAGGATACAATTAGCTTTCCAGGCCACAAGTGCACATTGTCAGCTCATATCTAATTTTTTGTCTACGGGTATATCCAAGTCCTTTTCCACAGGACTTCTCTCAATCCCTTCGTCCCCCACCCTGTTTTGATACTGTGAATTGCCCTGACCCAGATGCAGGACCTTGCACTTGGCCTTCTTGAACTTTATAAGATGTGCATGGGCTCACTGGTCAAGCCTGTCAAGGTTCCTCTGGATTGCATCGTTTCCCTCGTGTATCGACTGCACCACTGATTGCACCAAGATGCGCTTGGTGTTATCTGCAAACTTGCTGAGGGTGCACTCAAATCCTACTATCTATGTTATTGATGAAGATAGTATTGGTCCCAGTGAGAATCCTTTGGGGAACAACCTGATGAAATTCAACAAAGGCAAGTATCGAGTGCTGCACCTGGGGAAGTTGAACCCCATGCACCAGTACAGGGTGGGGGATGACCTGCTGGAAAGCAGCTCTGCCGAGAGGGACCTGGGAGTCCTGGTGGACGACAAGCTGACCATGAGCCAGCAGTGTGCCCTTGTTGCCAAGACGGCCAATGGCGTCCTGGGGTGCATTAAGAGGAGTGTGGCCAGCAGGTCAAGGGAGGTTATCCTCCCCCTCTACTCTGCCCTGGTGAGACCCTACCTGGAATACTGTGTCCAGTTCTGGGCTCCCCAGTTCAAGAAAGATGAGGAGTTCAGAGGAGAGTAACAAGGATGATAATGGGGTTGGAGCATCTCCCCTATGAGGAAAGGCTGAGAGAGTTGGGCTTGTTCAGCCTGAAGAAGAGAAGAGTGAGAGGGGATCTAATCAACACATACAAATATCTCAAGGGTGGATGTCACGAGGATGGAGCCAGACTCTTCTCAGGACAGTGGAACAGGCTGCCCAGGGGGGTTGTGGAGTCTCTGTCTCTAGAGATATTCAAAGCCCGCCTGGATGATGACCTGTGCAACCTGCTCTAGGTGAACCTGCTTTAGCAGGAGGGTTGGACTAGATGATCTCCAGAGGTCCCTTCCAACCCTTGCCATTCTGTGATTCTGTGTAACTCATTTCCACTTGGACAGTGAGCCATTAACTGTAATTCTTTGGATGTGGCCATCCAGCCAATTCATTGTCCATCCAACAGTCCATCTAGTTCACCCATGCAAGCTGTAACGTTCTAACCTGGATACAGAAATATTGTGGGAGATGGTGTCAAAGCCTTGCTAAAAACAAGGTGTGAAAACACTACTGTCCCCTCATCCATAAATCTAGTTATTTCATCGTTACAGAAGGCAGTTGGGTTGGTTAGGCATGGTTTACCCTTAGTTAAATGTATGCTGGCTGTTCCCAACCACTTGTTCCTTCACGAGCCCAGAAACATGTCACAGGAGGACCAGCTCCGTGATTCTCCCAGGGATGAAAGTGAGGCTAGCCAGCCTGTAGACCCCCAGGTTGACCTTTTTAAAAACGAGTGCACCTTTTTACTTTTACTAGTTGTCAGGGACTTCCCCAATCTCCATGAACTTTTAAAGGTGACAGCACTCACAGTGACATCAGCCAGCTCTCATAGCATCCTTGTATACATCTGATCAAGTCCCATAGACTGGCGTGGATTGAGTTTTGGCAAGCGATCTCTGACTTCTCGTAGTTTTTCTTGCATCCTTTGACTAAGCGCAGAGCCCTTGAGACCTTGTTAATGAAGATTGAGGCAAGGAACACATCAAGTAACTGAGCCTTCTCTGTCTGATAGCCTTAAACCACCACCCCCAATTCAGGAATGGGCCCGTATTTTCCTCCTTTATTCCTTTATGGTTAATGTAGCAGCAGATGCAGCTGTTGTGGCCCTTTGTGTCCTTTGCAAGTCTAAGCATAGCTGAGCCTTGGCTTTCCTGACACCATCCTTAACCTGTCCAGGCAGTGTTTCTAAATTCCTCCATTGCAGCCTGTTCTCTGTTAGTGAGCAGCAGACAGGGCACCTCAGCCCTTGTTGGTACATCCTGTACCCTGGATGAAGAAGTTGTCCCTGATGCTGCCCAGAAATCTTCCTGACTGCTTGAATTGCTGTGTTGCCTTCCCAGCAGATGTCAGAAGTTCCCCCATATGTGCCAGAGTCTGTGAGTCAGAGACTTCCTTGAGCTGTTTAGAGCAGCGTTTACCTCCTTCCTTACCCTGATCTCGTGACCTGTAGCAGCTCCAACCATGTCATCATCCCTACTGGCCTTCCCTGGGATCCTGGTCCACAAGCTCTCAGCCAGCCTGTCACCTGCTCTCTATCAGAGCTCAATACATTCAAGCCACTCTTTAACAGAGGGCAGCCTCTCTCCTCCTCCCTCCATGACTTTCCTGTAGAGCTTCTGCATGTCCTCTGCAGTGCTTCAGTCCTGCAAGCCATGTCTCAGTTGTTCCAACAACGTTGTAGTTCTGTGAACTCATGGAGAACTGTAATTCTTCCTGCTTGCTTTCCATGCTGCATGTATTTGTGCCTATACCTTCATGCCTCCTGCCAGTTTTGGTTTGGTTTGTTGGGTTTTTTTATTTGCTTCTGTGGTCTTACTTTTTTCCTGCCACCCTGTCCTGCCCTTTACTTTGGACCCCTATCCACTGCTACTTAACTGTGGGTTGTGATCTCCCTTCCCATCATTCCTACTTCAGAGCATGAGGCTGGCCGGCCTGTTGGCAAAGATTTTAGATTAGACAGCTCTATAGGACATTTAAGCTACTCCTGCGTGCTTTTTCCGGTAGAGAAACTTACCTAGCAGTTACTAACAGTATTAGAAGGATTGTAGGTAACTTAGCCTATGCCCTGTCCTGTTATAGGAAGCACAGACGCTACAGAAAACTTGAAACCGTTTCTTACTGCTACAGATACAATTTAGATGTTTACTTCCACTCACACAATTTCTTCTGCTCTTTGCAGCTGCACTGCAGGAGTGTTCAACAGGACCTTTTGTTAGAGCGAGACCATTTTACCTTTACTGCTGTCTGTAAATATTTGCTCATAATTTATTAAAACAACCTGTTAAAATGTAAAAAACTTAGCCATATCTTTTTGTAGTATATACCTATACTTTTTATTTAACCTTAAGTCAGTAACTGATCCCCAAAACAATCTTTAACCCAAAGTGATTTATTTATATATATATATATATATATATATAAAGTCACATGTCCTGAGCCAAGTGCCTACCAAAGCCGCTCTATCAGTCCCCCTCCTCAACAGGAGAGGGGAGAGAAAATATAACTAAAGGCTCGTGGGTCAAAATAAG